TAGTTTACATCTACCAACATGGCGCAGACGAATAGTCAGTGACTTAATGAACTAATACCATGTCTTGTTGAGGTAGACATGTACAGAATTAATATAAACTTCTCGTAGAGTGTATTACTTGTTTGGAGACAATTTTCAACAGTATCCTAGTTATGAACTGAGAAAGATAAATTATCTCTATATTATTCTGTAGAGGTTATAATACACTATTATAATACACTAGTCCCCAAATGCCCTGGTACGGCCGAGAGTGGGGAGAGTCCGCTCTCCCTCTCGAAACGCTCTCACATGACCACGTGTATATAGACTGTGCAAGGAAGTCTTATTCATCGCCTTCTCGTGGCGGGGGTGTTGTTCACAAAATTGAGAGGACTACAAGCGGATGTCCGGCGATCTAAACGGGTTGGTGGACATGGAGAGTTCACCTAGGGGAGTTGGATAACCCTCATTCAAAATCTATCGTGCACATGGGATCCAGTATCCTGAGAGAACAAATGGCGTATGAACCGATCGTTAGTCACCGGCTACCATGAGACTGCATCTCCTTACAATGCTCCACTGCCTTATGGATCAGATCTTCAGGTCGAAGGCTCCGGGTGTGGCTCCTTTAAAAAACTACCTGCTTCGGTTTGAACACCAGGGTAGTATCACAGCCCTCACACATATCGAATGAGATTCGTGTGGCGCATATGTATTTGGTGCCTCCTTGTACCATTATTTATGTGTTAAAATAAATAAATAAATAAATAAACACTAACATATTATTGTAAACCCAAAGATTCTTTTTCAAAATTTCAGTAGCTCAATATAAACAAATTTCGAGTTAAATTCTTTATCATTTTTGTTACCATTAAAGAACTTCGTTTGTTCTTTTTTTCTTCTTCAAAAACCAACTTGATCTGCAGTGTCTATGTACACATAAACTACATGATACATACAAGTATTAGAAGATTTGTGATGGAATAAAACAATCATAAATGTACAATCTTATCTTAATATTATCTGATTTCAGTAAAGAATAACAGTGATTAAGAATTAACAGTAATAATTTTCTAAATTCACTAAAATCTTTTAGATAAGAATGAGTTGAATATAGACCTAATTCATTGTAACAAGAGCATTAAGATTGAATTGTTCTATACCAGATAGAATTTATTTTAGATTAATAGTTCTGGATGTCAATGTAGGGTTGGAGAGATTATTAGGTTTTAATTAGAATCATGGATCGATCAATGTTAGACCATACCATTGAAAACGAAACGGACGTCCAGTGCTTCCGGGTTTTCAATGGTGGTCTAACATTGATTGATTTATGATCTCAATTAAAACTCAGCAATCTCCACCACCATATGCTGACATTTATCATGTGCTTATTAGTGACTAGCTTCGAGAGGTAATTCCCGGAGTTCTAGTGAGAAGCAGTGACCGATGAAGCTCAACCGTGCCGGGTATGAGACAGTCACCTACCAAGGACAATGAAAAATGGTCACGTAAAATCGTGGATTGGTTGAAGTTGGAAATTAACACACTTGGATGCCGGCGCAGTGGTTTAAAGACCAAGAGTACGCTCATGACATCAAAGGTCCTGGGTCGAATCCCGCGTGTGGGATCGTGGATGCTCATTCCTGAAGAGTCCCATCCTCACTACTTCCAAGTTTTAAATGTATTAGTAGTATTTGACAAAGAAATCGTAAAGTACAAAATTCACTTTAAGGAGTGGGATAAGATATGTTTAATTTAACGATATTGGATTACTAAGACTTGCTAGAAATGTTCTGTGTGAAATATTCGTTTCTGTCACTGTTCATTCAATACAATTTTCTACTAATTTAACGTAATTACTTTCATCAATAAGTAGTATGTAGCTTATTGAAAACTTTACTGCTACTGCTATGTAAGATAAATAGATGAACAAACATTTTCATTAAATTACCACATGAATGAACTTACTGAATCAGAAGTACTTTACATATGCAAAATGAGATTTTTTTAAAAAATTTTGTGTATTATTGATTATTTGAAGTGATCATATCAGGTTAACACATCGTCGCTTCATTAGAGGATAAATGCAACTGTGTACAAATTTACACATGATCCCTGAATAATATAAACAGTAATAGTACAAATGGTATTTTAGAAAAATATTTAGGATACTTAAGATAGTTTGAAATGAAAACACAAATTTCTTGAATTGTGGTGCGTGCTACTTATATTGATATAAGTAGTATATGACGCGAGTCAGGAATGTAATCTCTGGCGGCAGAAGATGGGGAAAATCAAGAAAGAAATAGCGGGAATACAAAGCAATTAGTATGGAAATGCAAGAACAATGAAGTTCGAGAAAATTATTGAACACTTTGCAAATTAAGTATTATAGTATGGTTTTTCTATATTACCAAGTAACTTTGTGGTATTAAATATAATTCGGTTGTCCTCATCTGTGTTTTCCTTCATTACACCATTATGACTGATTCTGAAACATTCTACCTATTATCTCCAAATATTTGACACAATAGTCGTGCCTATTCTCATTTAAATAGCCTAAACATGGCTTAGTTTAATTGTCAATAACTTGATATAGTAATACAACATCTTCATTTGACCACGTTTAGCTTTCATTTAATCTACTCCTCCATCAGCAAACATCATACGTCCAAGACATACAGTAGTTTGGTATACGTAATACATGTTTTAACCACAATATCAGATGGTTCTCTATTTTTACCCTAGTAAACTTTTGATTTTCATAGTAATTTAAATCAGGTGAATAATCTTGGTTATTATTATTTAATACGAATTACAGAATGTCGTGGTAAAATATGAAAAATACACATTAAGTACTTCATTTGCACAGCTTCCATCAGTTGTCTCTTACAAACTTCATCGTTCCTTCATTCCTGTTGTTGTTACAATTAGTCTCTGTTCACGTTCCTGTTCTCTTCAATTCGATTTTCTCAATCTTCTGCTGCTAGGTATTCCAATTCTGATCAATGTTACATACTACCTATGACTATCAACATAAGTAGCATACATCGCAATACTATTTTATTTTAATTTTTTGTGTATACTCTGAACCTGTCAGGTAGATGCAAACCACCTGACTAAGGTTCGCAAGATAACCGTGATCAGTGGTTCAATACATTGGGTGATGTAGTCTAGAATTGCGTTCACAATAATGGTACAGGTGCATTCATTGCTCTTTACCTTCGATTCGATCGTGAACTTCAGTATCCCTTCATATCATACCCTCCCATTCCGTCTTTTCAAACCTTATTCACGATGTTAAGTCTTTCATTTTTACCATTGGTAATGTATTATTTCAGTCTCTTTCGTCACTTAGTTGGTTAACTTCATCTCATCTCGTGCTAAGTGTGGTATAACAACTTAGTTTAACACATACATCTGTGCTGGGCTCTGTGTTGATTTTCGTTTGCGTATGTCTATCATTTTTGTTTTTAAAATTTCTATGTTACATATTGTACTTTTTAATTATGATAATTAGATATTATTTCTATCTTTTTTTATTCGCTCTAACGAAAAAAAGGAATATCAAGCCAAGGAATCGTCCCAGTTTTCGTCAAATTCTATCACATTTAAATGTAACCTGTTCACGTTTACTACAGTACACTGATGATGAATTCATTTCATTGCGTCAACTATGGAAAGAAGAAATCACTGTTTACCTTCAAGTATGTGTGGGTCCCTTTTTCTTCTTCCCCTGCCGTATTTCAACCGATGGGTGGCGGAAGTAGGCATTTTTTATATATGGTTTTATTCGCACATTTAATTTCATGGGTATGAGTTTCTACAGAGTATTTAAAAAATACGTTTGGTAACTTGAGTAAACTAATATTATTATGGGGGATTTGGTGAGAATGTATCATGTCCGCCGTTGAAATCGTGAACTGGTCTGAGATAGACCACTTTTGAAAACCTGGAAACACTGGACGCCCACTTCTTCCCAGGGTGGAACTTCTCAGCAACGCGCGTCCACGATCCATCCGTTTAGAGTGTGAAAAATCTACTCATTGCAGGCAATGGATGAAAGGTTACGCAAGATCATTGGTTGATTGGTTTGAATAATTTTTTCTGGTTAGCGTTTTTTTAGCGAGTTAGTTTTCTACGGGATGGGGACGCTAACCCCATGCCCAACCCTCCTCCTTTATTCGGGCATGGGACCGGCAGTAGCCCCCGGAGGGACTCCAGGCGGAGTTATTGGTTGATTGAAGTTAGACATTAATACCGTTGAATGTATGCTCAGTGATCTAGAGGTTAAGCGTCCGTGCGAGATCGAGGGTCTTGGTCTAACACAGACCAGTTCGTCATTTCACCAGTGAATAAACTAACGTTTACCTGCCCAACTAAGTAGGAGAATCCATTAGGCACCTTGGGAAACGAAAAGAGGTTTTGTTAAGGGTACGCGATTGGAGCACTGGAAAAAGCAAAGTAAACGGACACGTTAGCAGTTTGCTTCTTTATATTTCGTTTGTAAGTAGGGACTTCGATTCAACTATACGTTATGTAGCGTAAACAGACACGTTGACAGTCTACACTTTCCTGTCATGTGTGGAAACTTTGTAACAACTCAAAAGTGTTTAAAGCTATAATAAATGCACCGGTATGGGACATGGTACTGCCTCAAGTATGCGTCTTATTTATATCTAGAATGTACACGTTAGAGACATGTACATTCTACAGTATACATAGGTATAAATGCTTCCGCTCGCAAGTGTACGTTACATGAATATACATAGTGCATGAACTAAGCCCTACATTCTCCATAGTGTGTACAGGGATATACATCCAATTCACCTCAGGCCGTAACCCAGCGGTTATAAAGCACTGAATAAATAACAAGCAATCAAGTCAATTGTGCTTTGAGTCGTCATTTGACGATATTTCACACTCATCCCGAAAGCAATTTTAGTGTCGACGCCTGTGTTCTGGTTACGGCACAGTTTATTGTCATACGTTCTAGCTCAGCCCTGCCAGATTCAGTGGTCCTCTCTAGAGTGAATCCGGTCAGACAGATCAGGCGAAATTCTCTCTCCAGTTCTGTATTTCACGTTTATCCATACAATGCGCCCCTTTCTGTTAATCATGTTTTAAGACGAATCGAGTGATTAGCCCGATTTCTTCTTAGCCGCCCGCGTTAGCTCATAAACATGATTCACTCCCTACAGGGCACCACAGAGAGGCGCAGGTCCGTCTTCGCTTTAGTAAATAAACAACTGATATTGTTTTGACATTTGTAGTCAGTTGGTCAGTCGTGATCAACATAGAGCTAGATACATGTGTCCTTTAACCCAAATGGCTGTATCACATTAGCACGACAAGAGGAAGTTACACAGAATGAACAGGGACAAGTAACTGAAGTAATGCAGTACCAATAATAATGAAAAAGATTAAACATTATGGGTATGATTAGTTATTCAGAAATATATACTTAGTATCTATCGTTCACCAATAATTGGGCTGTCTAACATCCTGTTTAATTATTTGCCTGAATCTTCTTTCATACAAACATATCTAATAGGATATTCGACTTGAAGGTCAGTGTACACCAAAACTTGAAGTGATGTTAATTCGTCGTCGACGTGAAGAATTATGTCATGCACAAGATATTCGACGTTGTTATGATGATAAACGTGAAAGAGCTAATGAATTATATATGGAATTGAAAATATTATTAGCTGAATGCGAAGAAGAAAAACGTAAAGCTGAACGGTTAGTTTACAAAATCTCTTGTGGTGTTCATTATTTCGTTTATTTGTTATGAAAGATGTCGAATGTGTTGTTGTAGTGGAGCAATCAATAATTGGCTAAATGTTAAACGCCCATGACTCGTCAAGATACATGGCTGCCATTTTCGCGGAATGAGATACATGCGATTAGTGGAAAGTGTATATATATATATAGTCATTTCTCTATCTGGTTAGCCAATAAAAGCTTCCTTCATATTCATGATCTCATTCATGTATCATAAGTCTGGGTCTCACTATCAGAATCGGATACTACACAACACAGCAGCTTGTCATGTGTATAGAGAGTTAAAATTGTCCTGGTAGTTTACTGTTAAAGTAATTTGTTAATTTATAGTTAAAAGCTTATTCCAACAATAGATTCTATAATCTGTGCTCAATTATTTCACTGCCCTATCATTAGCTTGAATGTTGATACAAGTTACTCATAAATTCAAACTTTACATTTAAAAGATGAGGAACATATTCCAAACATGTTTATATTGTTACTCAAAGTGATTATAAGACTCTACATCTTTTACGGATCTTCAATATAAGTTCTGATTCGATGACCTGTAGTGTTCGAGTAAAGAGGTCTGTACTAGATTGATCTCTTCCTTTGGTATGCCGTTCAATAACAGACACTGCTACATAACTTATCTATCAACGTAGTTGAAAGCTGCCTTGATATCAAGAAAAACCACTATAGTCGGACGTCTGTAGGCTTTTTGATGTTGTCGAGTTTGGAAAATGCGAATATATTTAGTCGATACATCCACGTTGAAGTTTGAAACTAGTCTAGTTTCCTGAAGTTCACGTTATAACACTACGTGTGTTCCGAGATAACTCTTATTCTGAAAAATACTCTTATTAATCCAGGTTCTCACATTACGAATATTGACTAGTGTAAAAGTAAGTTGTAAAAAAGCTAGGTGACCACTTAACCAAGTTATGATATCACCCTATGAAGTCACTAGCTTTTGGATTTAATCATTACAAACTACTTGGATGAAGTTTGCGCACTTATCGTAACCAGTTGTTCGAGACCACTGGGTTTGCCTTCCATTAGGTCTTGTTTTTAAATTATTTAATACCTTCGATGTTACGAATTAATCATTTCTTTTCGATTGATGTTATGTATGCTCAATCTTTCCTATTATCACTAATATTCTTACTACTTGTACTATTCTGACATTCATCTCACTGTTCTGATTTTGTATTCCAACTTAAACTGATACAAATATCTATGTCCAGATTCTAGGTTCCATACAACTAACTATCTGTTTATTTATTTATTTATTTAAACACATAGACATTGGTACAAGGAGGCTCCAAATAGATATGCGCCACATAAATCATTCGATTTGTGTGAGGGCTGGGGTACTGCCCGGGTGCCCAGACAGAGGCAGGTGGTTCTCTTAGGGGGCCACACCCCGAGCCTTTGACCTAAAGGTCTGACTCACAAGGCAGTGGAGCATCGTGAGGAGATGCAGTCCCATGGTAGCCGTTGACCAGCGATTGGTTCGTACGCCATTTGTTCCCGCAGGATACTGGAGCCCATGTGCACCGTTGGTTTGGAATCCGGTTAAAGCGCTGGACATTCGCTTTTCGTCCTCTCAATTTCGTAAACAACATCCCCGTGGTGAGAGAAGGCAGTGAGTCGGACTTTCCTAGCAGAGGCTGTATACGCGTGGCCATTTGAGAGCATTTCGAGAGGGAGGGCAGGCCCACCCGACTTTCGGCAGTACCAGGGCATTTAGGGTTTGTGCTGATGATGTCGTTCAGAAGAACGATGAAAGCTCCACGACCAAACCATCCAGCTCAGAGAACAAAACACCACCAAAATCATCCGGCTGAGCTACAAATCTTCTCCACCATCTCAAAAGGGTCATCTGTTTATTTGTTTCTATTTCACTATTTATTCCTCCTTTCCCCCTACCTCCTATTTTTTTTAAACATTCTAGAGAACGTTTACACTATGAATCGCTTATTCAAGAGCTCAATACTAATCGAAAACAACAAAATGAATTGAATCAACAAAAATGTTCAACTGAAGAGAAAAAAATTGTTGACAATGAAAAATTTCAATATTTCAATGATATAGAAAATACAAATGATTGTATTACTACTCATTCAAATAAACAACAATTTCCTTTTTCAACTTTATCAACATTTTCATTAGGACGTAAATTAAGTGATTTTTATTATCGTCGACGTAATGATTTCAAATTTACTAAATCTATTTTACAATCATCATTATTATTACCATTATCTATTGGGAATAATAATACACATTCATCTATTCATACTACTGATATCATTCATAAAAGTAATATAAATAGATTGGAATTATTAAAAAATCATCATTATTATTTTACAATACCAAATAGTTTAGAACAATTTAATGAGATTTATTATTTAGGTTATCTTATATATAACAATCTATTTAATAATAATACTACTAATAATAATATTAGTAGTAGTTGTAGTTCACGAGTTAATAAAAAACAAAAATGTCCATTTTGTGGTAATCTCTATTCATCATTAATAAATAATATGGAATTTTTAAAATCCTACCATCATCATCATCGTAATAATCATCATCTACGTAGAGCATTAACATTATCAATGTTAGAATATAAATTAAAAGATCAACAATTAACCGATTCATCTATGATTTATAATGAATTATACAATACTACTAATGATGATAATAATAATAATAATAGTAATATCCAACCAAGTTCACTGTAAGTAGTATTGTTTACTATTCTTTGTTCATTATGATATTTGTTTCATTAAATTATCCATTGTTTAGTGAATATAATTTGTTAATTGCCTTGTAAAATATATCTGATAGAGTGATTAAAACAAATAGGATGTTTGTTTTAAGTGTATAGTATAATTCATGTAAATTCATACAATTTATTCAATGAATAGATCCTTTATATAAACAATCATAAGTTTATGAATAATTTATATCTCTTAAATCAGGAAACTGATCCTAGGTATTTATTTATTTGTTTTATTTGAACACATACATATTGGTACAAAGTAGAGGGGGCACCAGATATATATGCGCCACACACAATAACAATAAGAATGGGAAGAGAAAAAGGATGTAGGGTGCGTATAAGAGAGAACAGTAACGACCACAGATTAGTGTATGGTAGTGTACTAGGGCATTTGGGGGGGGGCAATAAATTCTTGATCGAGATCATGAACCGATCGATGTTAGACCATCATTGAAAACCTGGAAGCATTGGACGGCTATTTCGTCCTATTGTAAGACTTCTCAGCAACGCGCGTCCACAATTAGAACCCAGGGCTTTCAGTCTCGCATGCGAACGCTTAACCTACTGGACCACTGAGCCAAAAGAATATGGAACGCTTCACGATTTTGCGTCTCATCCTTGCGCAGGGGTCAATTCTAATTTTCTCTGTATCGTTCCAATTTTACTATATGTACCGTCGAAGCGAGTATGTACCGACCATTATTGAAAACTAAGGTAGGCTAAATAGTTTTTCTGTTCTAGGATGAAACAACTTAATGTCAGTGTACATCCACGATCTTGTATCTTGTGGTTAAAACTGAGGTCTTTCGGTTTTGATATGCAAATGATTAACTTTTAGATCATTAATTTGGCATCCAACAATGTTAATGCATAAATTTATTCAACACACGAATACAATGGATGATGGTAGCGTGATATCGTAGATTTATTAGTGTTTAAAGATGTGTTCTTCTATTCACCGACTGTTTTTATTTTTTTTATTTCGGGGAATTATTTTAATGATTCATATTAACATTATATGATGACATTTACATTACTTGTCCAATTTTAATGATATTTGATATGTTTATTTCGGCTGATTAACAAATGAGAAACAGAGTAGACATATCCGAAACTCTGCTATTCGATTTTTTATATCCATATTGTTTTTAACGGGATTTGTCAACGGAGCATATAAAATGTCTATATCATTAACGATTCGACCATATTTAAGTTGCAAGCCTGACTTGATATAGTGCTAAATAAATCAATTAAAGGTTTTATTAAATTTAAACATATACAGATAGTTATGGTTCTATACCTGTGTAACTGGGCATCGAAGTTAGTATACACAATACAAATAATGAGGTGAAGTTGGGAAGAAATGAATTAAATATTCGAAGGATGAGTATAATTATTGTAACTTGTGAAATTGCATACTTGGTACTGGCTACTGGTAATAGTGAATTTGACAACACAAGTAAGAACGTGAATATAATAGATGAGGAGTGGTTAGATCTCTGAAATAAATTAAAATAATGTCTGAATATACTGATTTGATTTTTACCGAATAAACATAAGTATAAAATATCATAGGTCACTAATACTCTAATCAGTTTTACACCTTTGTTCACTGTGTCAATCATAAAAAATAACTAGATGCAAATGAGTGAAAAGAAGAGGATCTTGATGAAAACAGTTGAAAAAATCTCTCATAATTTCAAAGAATGTAAAAGAAAACTACTACAGGAGTTCTTCTGTTTTCTATTCTGATCCATGTCTCGTAACATCTCAAGCCAATTAGTTGTACCATCTCCAGGCTCCCAACCAGCGAGTCTTGTCAGACGGACAAATACTACTCTTATATAATCTATTTTCATACCATGACGCCATGTCATAGAATGACTACTTGCACGAATTTAAAGATACTAAGATAACATTCGTCAGACATTTTAAAGCCATTGAAATGTGCATTTCAAGTTGCTGCCACCAATTGGATTAATGTCTGCGTCCTGACTTTCACTATACGTAGATTGATTTCGTCTTCCATACCACTGCCAACATACACAACTAAAATACACGAATTCTTTTTAACAACTAACGGATGACCACAAAAAGTGAATGCAATCATATACTCCTGTCAGTTGTGTAGAACTACTTTCCAAAATACATGCCATACTTACATATTGTTTGTCTTAATTAAGTAAAATTTAATAGATAGAATAAGTATTTTATCATTATAAGCAAAAATGGATGATGGCTATCAATGGAATTCAGGAAGCATGTTTTGTTCTAATTGGAACTCGACAGCTAGATATATCTGCATCCCAGAGTTGATGTTCACTCCGCAACTCGAATTCAGTACCATTCGCTCCAAACGCTATCGAGTTATTCAATTAGCTACTGAGTCCAGATTTAAGGCAATCCACAAAGTATGCACATATGACAATAAGAGACTGGTCAAATGTAGTCTTCAACATCAATAAGAAGATTTAAACAACCAATACAAAATATATTTTATCATTGGCTCATATCTACTAGTATGTATTTAATAAGTTTATTTATTCATAAATATCATTTAATAGTATGCATAAAACTTATTTATTGATTATTATCATTCTTTTCATTATTCCCAGTCTACATAATACTAAAAAACAATTTGCCAGTACAAATAGTTTGCATCAACTTGTAAATGTCCCTTCTCCTCCACCACCGCCAGCATATGACTCTGTAATAACAACTGACAATCAAGTCGTACGAGGAGGTCATCATCAAAATGTACCAGAACAAACCATGGTAAGATCGAATTTCACTCATATAAGTGATATTCACAACAAAAACAATAATAACGGTAGTCAAACATTCTGTAATCATCATGATCATCAGACTGATGTCACTTCTTCACCTTCATCAGTAAAATCTGTACATCATCAGTTAAAAGATACTGTGAAAACTACCTGTAGTTGTACAACCGATATCACCACCACATACACTACTACTACTACTTCTAATTTGAAGGACAACGATAATTCAACCAATAATTCCGACAAGATTCAATTCGATGTAATGTTAAATCCAACCATAAATGAAAATAAGAAAACAATGACAAATGATAATGAAATGTTGTTTAAAACCGGTTTATCAAAAACAACAATTAAGGTAAGAAAAGAAAAGAATCTTATTATTTCTAAATAAGAAGTGTTATTTGTCATTATTATTTCTACTGATAAAGTCAATAATATTTGAAATGATTGATGAAACACCAACTGAATCTTAGTAACACAACCATTGCGAACCGGAGAGTACTGGATGGTTTTTTCATCCTGGTGTCGAACTCTTCAGTGGCACACATTTACAAGCTTTCTAGGAGCTAGACTAAAGGGACTCTGCATTCTTAATGGTAATGTTTAACTTTTAAACCATTGAACAGAGGTACGTTGAAAGATGGTTACTTGTCAACACTATGATACAAGTACATCCAATTGATGAGTCCCAATCAAGACGAAACGTACATCATGGATTCCACTGTTATCAACTATCTAAATGTACTGAAATCATATCTTAATACTTATCACTTCAACATAACCCGCTTATTTACTACTTAAATGAAGGATTCCTCGTAAGATCTTGTCATTTCTAATGCGAACAGGTTCTTACCTTAGAGGTCGGTCAATCATATATCTATGTGGCCATGTTACTCGTCACGAAACTTCTGAAGTCAACACTATAGGGTAACGGAGTTTCAGTATTACTTAAAATCATAATCAACACTTGATGAAAGCAGTTCTTGTCAAAAAAAGATGGTTACTACAACCTGTCGAACTGTTAAACGTTAAAGACATTCTCCATCTGTTTTGTGATATATTTCAGTCAGTCAGTAACAACGTAGAACTTCGTACTTACGTACATCAGTTCGAGTTGCCATACCACATTAGCACAGAGATGCAGTTGTCGATTCAAATCCCGTAGTGGTAGAGGTAGTAAGAGTATAAGCAGTAATCGGAAAGATTAGGGTTTGGAGATGTTATTGAAAGAGTATAATACAGTGAAATAAATTTGGAAAGCGAAAAAAAGGTATACGAAGAATTCAGGAGATTAGAATTTGGGAGAACACAAAGAGTGGATGCACTTGCGCCATTGCAAACGATTTTGAGCCATGCCATTCAGGGTCTCTAACCATCGGTTGCTATCATCTCGCGGTCCCCAACCAGGTAGTCTATACCTACCAATATGGCTCACTCAGTCCATTTGTCAGTGACTTCATGGACTTGTGCCATGTTTTGGTCTGGCCACCCTTAGCTTTCTTCCAACCTACTCCTATACTACTGAACATCACACGTCGAGGCAGTTGGTCATTGGGCATACGTAACACATGTCCTAGCCGCCATCTCAACCGATGAAGTTTCACCACTTCATCAATTGATTTGCCATCCTTACCTAGTACCCGTTTCCTAACAACTGTGTTACTTACTCGATGGTCCCAGGATATACGAGCAATGTTTCAAAGACACCTATGATCGAATACTAGTAACCTACAAATATCCTTTACTCTTACTGGCCACGTTTCACTGCCATAAAGTACGACGGAACAAACTGCTGCACAGTAAACACGTCCTTTGGTTGATAGACGGATATCTCGCCTACGCCATAAATGAGATTATTGTAATATATTTATAATAACAGTGATTAATTTAATAGACTATTATTATCGGAACTGTTCAAGTGATCACTTGAACGAGTATTTCATTCAAAAGAAATTGTTATCTACGTCTTATCCCAGTAGAAATTAAAAGACAGAACCATTGATTCGTAAAAAAACAATATAAAAACAAGCAATATATTAGATTATAGATAATTAATTTAAGTTAGACTTCTAATTATTAGGTCAACATGATGTTTTATTTTCTTAAGAAATACCTGAACTGATTACTATTCATGTATGTGAAGTATTGAATCCAGTGGTTACAGGTTCCAAACCCTCTCCATCGATTTCTATGTGTGCAGCTCCATAGTGTCCCTAGGCAGAGTTTTTATTTGTTTATTTATTTTAACACATAGATATTGGTACAAGGAGGCACCAAATACATATGCACCACACAAATCTCATTCGATATGTGTGAGGGCTGTGATACTGCCCGGATGCCCAAACCGAAGCAGGTGGTTTTCTTAGGGGGCTACTCCCTGAGCCTTCGACCTGAATATCTGACCCACAAGGCAGAGTACACGAGTACATACTTGGTGAGTTATATATTTATATATCTTCCTGAACATGTATATTTTATTCACTGTAATTAGTCGTTGTTCATAATTAGATTGACAATGAAGAATCCAAAGAAGATAAAATGGCTGGAATTCATGTTAATGTGATAAATTGGCTTAATCCTGCAAACAATTTAATAAATGTTCATCAATCATCAAATGTAAATAATTTAACATCGAAATATTATCCAACCAATTATCGATTAAAACGTTCTATTAGTCAAGATTCTTTATTATGTTACTTAAAAAAATTACAATCAATAAAAAATATCAATGAAAAATATACTAATATCAATACTACTTATAACGATAATAATAATAATAATACTACTGATAAAGATAATCATACTACTGATAATGATGATCATAATAATACTACTATTAAATCATTAAAAAATCAATTTCCTCTGATCAATAAAAAATTCTCTTCATGTATATCAATATTTTCATTGATCAATTATTATAAATCATTACAATTATCATATTTAACAAGTTTTAAAGAATTTCCTAATAATCATATTTATCATCAATTGAAAGTAATGAATGAACGGGATTATTTTAAAGCAAATATAATTCATAAATCTTTTGTACATTCTTATCAACCTCAACAACTATCTGCAAATGATGAAAGGTAATGTAATTTTGAAAAGTTTTATAATTGAATATGAATTTATCCTCTGTATTATTTGATTGATGCGAAGTTGAAAAACCATGATTGTAAACTAATGTGGTACCTATGGGTTCTAGGATCCTAAAGGAACAAATGGAGTATGGACCCATTATTGGTCACTGACTAGCATTGGACTGCATTTCGTGATGTTATTGCACTGCCTTGTGGATCAGACCTTTAAGTTGAAGGCTCTTGGTATTGGGCTCCCTAAGGAAACCACCTGTTTCGGTCTAAGCACTCGGATAGTATCACAGCCCACACATAACTCAAGTGACTTGTGTGGTGTATATGTATTCGGTGCCTCTTTGTACCAATATTGATATGTTCAAATAATAATAATAATAATAATAATAATAATAATAATAATAATAATAATAATAATAATAATAATAATAATAATAATAATAATAGAGTAAAAATAGTGATTTCGTCCGTATCAAATGCTTGATTTTGTCTCTCTATATTTATATTCATTTACTTATCTAAACACATAAACATTGGCGCAAAGGGACAATAAAATATATATAAGCCACAAAAATCATGAAATTTGTGTGTGAACCGAAAAACTACCTCTGTACCCATATTCAAAACAAATGGTTTTCTTAAGGGAAGACTCTCCGAGTCTTTGATCTAGAGATCTAATCCACAAGGCAGTGGATTAACGTTAGAAGATTCAATCTCATGGTAGCCGGCGACTAACAATAGGTTCATACTCCATTTGTTCCCTCATTATCCTGAGGCCGATGTGAACCATTGTTTTGAAATCAGAGTTTTCCAACTCCCCGAGCTATATGCTCCGTACCGACTCGCCCGATTTAAGTGCCGGATATTCACTTTTTCTGTCAACACCGTAAATAATACTCCCGTCGAGAGAAGGCAGTGAGTTGAATTTCCGTGGTAAAGACTGTCTACCCGAGACCATATTAGAGCATTTGGAGAGGAAAGGTGAAGTCTCTTCCTCCTCCTCGACCTGAAATAAATCTTAACTTGATCCCATCATATTTTATGAACGAAGTAATGATATAACACCCCTTATATTTTTGAGTGAAATCTATTCATCCATATTGGCTACAGTTTGCCTATTTTATATTATTAGTAATGTGAGTTCATGTTGAAAACTCTAAATCTGAAACCCATAATCCTCATCTTAAATACCTAACTTTAACCAAGAACAACATCGAAACTCTTAGAAATCAATTTAGACCCTTATACCTTTTTGAAAAAATCATATAATCTATATTTTGAGATCGTAGAGAAGATTTTTAGCTCAGCTGGATGATTTTGATAGAATTTTATTCTCTAATCTGAATGGTTTGGTCATGAAACAACATCAGAAAAACAATGAAATCTCCACAAACAAACCATCCAACTCAGAGAATAAAACTCTATCAAATTATCTAATCCATATCTATAAAAAACGAAATTATTTGTCTTTACATTTTCAACTTTCTATAACAGACCAACTTGTAAAAGATGTTATGTACAATCTATCTATACTTTGTTACATAACATTATTCTGTTGTCTTTTCTCTCTCTCTCCATAAACAATCCATTGGTTAAAGTTGCTTTCTGATTGGTTGACAATGCATAACAACTGTGTTTGTTTTTTTTTCCCCAAAAAAATCTCATTCCTGTACTGTAGGATACTATAGGGATACTTTTACCGAAATCTATTACATCACTAAATAAAATACAAAACAATCCAGCGACGACAACAACAACAACAACAATAATAATAATAACAACAGAATCTTTTTTTCCTTTCCAATGATGACATTTAACAAAGTTTTACAATCACTTTCTTTTAAAATTTAGTTTAACCTACATATTATAGACTATGAATAACAAAAAATAGAAAATTTTTTGCGTCATTAGCATAGAAACAAAAATTAATTTTGTTACATAATAGTTAAAAGATAATAAGAATGTGAACATTATATATATATATATATAAAAGATAGATAACTACGATAGAACTAGATTGGATAGCGATGACCTTCGAGCAACCAATCATATTTAAGATGACGTTTATAGAATATTGCGCAAAATTTAAAACTCAGTTAAAGATAGTATAAACTTTATTTTAAAAGTAATATGTGATTAGCTGTTGAGTGTAAACAGACAGATAGTCAGCTGACTTGCCTAGTCACTCCTGTTACCCCTCGTGGAGGAGCTTACTTACTTACTTACTTACTTTACTTTACTTTACTTTACTTTACTTTACTTTACTTACACCTGTTACTCCCAATGGAGCATAGGTCGCCGACCAGCATTCTCCAACCCACTCTGTCCTGGGCCTTCCTTTCCAGTTCTATCCAATTTTTGTTCATTTTCCTCATGTCTATCTCCACTTCTCGACGTAATGTGTTCTTTGGTCTTCCTCTCCTCTTTTTGGCCATGGGGATTCCATGTGAGGGCTTGTCTTGTGACGCAGTTGGGTGCTTTCCTCAATGTGTGTCCTATCCACTTCCAGCGGTTCTTCCTGATTTCTTCCTCCACTGGGATTTGGTTTGTTCTCTCCCACAGTAGGTTGTTGCTAATAGTGTCCGGTCAACGGATCCGAAGTATTTTGCGTAGACAACTGTTAATAAACACTTGTATCTTCTGGATGGTGGCTTTCGTAGTTCTCCAGGTTTCTGCCCCATACAGTAGAACTGTCTTGACATTTGTATTGAAAATCCTGACCTCAGTGTTGGTTGACAGTTGTTTTGAGTTCCAGATGTCCTTCAGTTGTAAATATGCTGCTCTTACTTTACTGATCCGCGCTTTCACATCCGCATCGGATCCACCGTGTTCATCAATGATGCTGCTTAGATATGTAAAGATTTTTACATCTTCCAAATCTTCTCCGTCAATTTTGATTGGATTGGTGCATTCTGTGTTGTATCGGAGAATCTTGATTTTCCCTTTTTGTATATTGAGACGTACTGCTTCTGAGGCTGCTGCTACACTGTTCGTCTTCTCCTGTATTTGTTGTTGCGTTTGCGATAGAAGAGCAAGATCATCAGCGAAGTTTAGATCATCCAGCTGCATTCTAGCTGTCCATTGTATCCCATGCTTCCTCTCAGATGTTGACGTCTTCATGATCCAGTCGATCACCAGGAGAAAGAGACAGAGCCTAGTGATTGTTAAATATATAATTTCCTTCCTATTATTGATATCTACTCTAAACACTTTGAATGTAGGCTGTTTTGTAATTGTTTTAAATGAATTATTATCTAGCTGTATATTCTAGTTCTCTACATTCCATTGTGAATCTTTTGTCTAGTATAAAATTATCCTGATCTGTGTATAGGATATCAATCGAGTATCCAATCTAATGGAACTAAATGGAGATCTCATTCACGGATTGTATTGTCGTACAACAAAAACGTATTGTTCCAAACTGAAAATACTTTTATTCTACGGTTATATCTAAAAAGAATTGCCAGTAATTAATTACTAAAATGCATAAGATCGTTTTTTTTTAAAAGACTTGTGTAATCACACAGTGAATTTAACACAATATGTTTAATAAATTACATGAAATATGTGATCTGAATGCGAATTGTACGTAAGAATGCATAATATGATTCAAGGCATAGTTAAAGGTGTTTTTATCATTAAAACTGATATAAGAAGAAAAATAGATGATTATCATTAGTACAGTAGGGCCTACGTCATCAGTCTGTAATTACAGAATAATGACGAAGTTCAAGAGAATGAAAGTAGCTTTAACAAATTAATAATAACATGTTAGAACCTTAACAAATTAAAGAATTGAACATGATGCGTTTTTGAAGACAAAGAAAAGTACTATGTAGTTAATTTGTTTTTATGATAGATTTTTATACAATTCATAATTGTTTTATACGGTTGCTTTTAGACCAATGTTTACACATTGGTAAAGTTAAAGTTTACTCAACCCCCAAATGCCCTGGTATGGCCGAGAGTGGGGAGAGTAATCTCTCCCTTGAAAAATGCTCTCACATAACCACATGCATACAACTACTACCAGGGAATTCCTATTCACTGTTTTCTCGCACTACGGGTGTTGTTTACAAAATTGAGAGTACAAAAAGCAAACGTCCGGCGATTTAACCGGGTTGGTGGACATGGAGAGTCCACCTATGTTAGTTGGGCTACAGTATCCTGAAGGAACAAATGGCTTATGAATGAGTTTTAATAAATATCAGAAAAATGAAGTGATATTTCACTTCATTATTCTGTTAATTTTGGTTTCAGTGTGAATATTCTGAATTATAGTATATATATAAACTAATCATTAATCTCAACCCTCAATTTTAACGGTTGATAACCTATAATCAATGTAAAAACGTTCATTATTAAGGTTACTAGCTGTAAGTTTAAAGAAAGTAAAAGGGTGGTCAAACCAAGACAATATCAATCCATCAAATCATTAACTCCGTATAATTTATATTTATCGAAACCATATTAGGAGTGAAAGACTCATATGTTTAGGGCCCATGCGATTGTTGTAACTAATGTTTGAATATGTTGAGTAGTATGATTCTGAATTAGTTACAATCACATAAATAGATTCACTCATTATCTTCTAGATCTTGGGCTACAGCATTTGCTTGTACATACGTTTCCATATTGTCTTTTAAAACTATATTCCGAATGTTCATTTCTTCTCTTCATCACTGCTACTATATTATTTCAATCTCTTTTTGTGTATCAGGTTAAGCAAACACATATACATCCCAAGCTCTATGTTAATTATGACTGGACTTGCCTAATCCCATCCCTTTTTAAAATTCTAATATCTTTTTATTATATGTTTGTATATTTGTACAGTATAATTCTTTCTCAATATTTTCTTTTCTTTCCAGTCATATAGACTCTACTCTTGATAAAACGATACAAGATCAAAATTTGAAAATTCTAAGAGACAATAAGGTAGAAGATGGAGATTTGAAAATGATCACTACTGTTGGTTTTCCTTTCCTTGAACATGTAAGCCCATTATGGTCACCAAGTAAAGATTTATCACGACATAAACGTCAAATGATTAAATCAATGAATAATAATAATAATAATAATAATAATAATAATAATAATAATAATAATAATAATAATAATAATAAGAGTGACTTTGGACTGTTATCATTACCGACGTCAGTTTCACCTAAATACTCTGCATCAATTCCTACGATACCGCGTCGTTCGAATAGTAATAAAATCCATGTTGACCATAATAATGACAATTCTGTCTTGAATCAAACTACTCATATATCATCCGTTGTCACAACAACATCATCATCATATTTACCTATGCATAATAACAACAACAGTAGAGAAAATCTGGAAAATGAAAATATCCAATTAAGAAAGTATCCTGGTCGACGAAATTTTACCATAAATGAGTCATATTTAAAAAATTCTAGTACAACAATGCCAGATCAAATATCTCGACCACTTCGTTCGCGTTACTATCATCATCGTCATCATTCAAGACTCTATTCTTTCTCTCAACCTAGAAGAAATAGTAGTAGTTTGTTGGATTTGAATTCAAATTATCGATCGGCATCTTTTTCTGCTTCATCATCACCACTCTCATCGTCCATTGGAACTCACACACATATGGTAAGTTTTGTGTTAATTATCTTTTCTTTATTGTTTTCACGTTTTCTTCTGTTTGGGCCAGCGACATGAGCCAAACCTGACGTCTCATGCATACCACAGTGTCCTTCGGATAAACTCTGACGGAATGCGAAGTATTTTGATTTCCTTGAGAAACTATTCAAGGATGTTTAGGATGCGATTCTCTCACCCTAATTGTGAAATGTTGCTTTCGAACTGGTCTATGTCAACCCATGAATTATTGATAAAAAGTGACGGGATTTAACACTTATCTTGAAAATCTTATCCCTAGTGGGTTGATGTCTAACGAACTTCTGGTACAGATTCAGAAAGTTGTGTCATTTGTTACGTAGATGAGACATCCATCTTCCAACCAACAGATCAGTTTACCGCACAGCAGTTTTCTCCCCTCTAATTATCAGTCAGTCACTCAAATCAAACGGAACGTAGAACCCAGTACATGCTTGCATCGTTCCAAGTTGCCATATCCTACCAGCATAGCGATTAAGTGTAGTTCATGGCGATGAATACTATGGGATATTCTTAGCTTAATAGTTTTCGATCACAGGTGTCTCTAAAGTGTTGCCCGTGTACACTGCGACCACTAAGTGAGCAATGCTGAGATTTGGTATAAGGTACTCGGTAAAGATAGTAAATTGGTCGACGACGCTGAGTATCTTCATCGAATAAGATGGATGCGGCATGTACTGTATTTGCCCAACCACCTCCTATATTAGTGAGCGATGTTGTCTGGTTTGAGAGTAGAGTGGATGAAATATAGGGTCGCCCAAACCAAAATATGGCATCAGGCCCTAAAGTCACTGACTGTGTGGAGTGAGCCATCGAGGTAGGTGCAGATTACATGATTGGAGTTCACGCGATTATCGTAACAAATTGTTAGTGACTTTGGATAATATGGTTCAGAATCATTCGTAAAGGCACAATGCATTCACTCCTTGTCTTCCCGCTGATCCTGAGTCCCTAAATCTCATATGTTTTTCTTTCTGTAACTAGTCTTTTCTAATACCAGTAGTTTGCTATTTACCTTGATAATTTTATCTAGGTGCGCAATTGTGGTGTGGCAACTTGGGCCGATGCACATATGTGCTAGGTCGTACGTTGCACATAACTGATTGACTGAACAGCACTCGATCTGCACAAACAACTCCATCTTTTGTGAAGCATTTTGTTTGAAATGGATCATCGTATTGATATAAAACCAACTTTTGTCCACCAATTGTCTATTATCTATCTATCTTTCTGCCTATCTATTTATTGTCTGTTTATCTATCTATCTGTCATATAGTTCAGATTAACTTCATCTTAATTATGATTGTCTCTATGTCTTTTAATAGAGCATTGAGAATTTAGCCAATGAACTACAATCACATATGATTGATAGTTTAAGTGATAAAGAATATCATGTTCGACGTGTATGCAGTAGGTTAAGAAAACAACAGCAACAGCAACAACAACAACAGTATCAAAAACAACCTATTCCTATTCAATTTACAACAGATGATATTTCTGCTCCGAATCCAGCCTCTTTAGCATCTTCTCCATTGCCACCACCTATTACCATCACTTCTCTGAATGGAAGTTGTAGTAGATTAATAATTTCTAATGATGATAATAATATAACAAATGAAGAAAATCCATTAGTTGAACGAGTTCGTCCAGTATTTCATTATTTACCTGATCAATCATTTACAATTGAGCAAAATAATTTAAATTCACAAGTATGTGGACCAAATCCAAAAGTATTTATTACATCTACATGTACTACAATATCCAGTATAACAGAGGTAAGTTTGTTTTAGTGAAAAGATGGAAAATGTAGAAATAATTGTACATCTGCTTTTAAATCGTATACATTTATCATTTGTCTGGTATGTAAACTGCTTGAATATTCCTTAGTTTAATGGTCTAAAGGTTAAATACCTTTCTACATGACCTGAAGGTCCTGAATATTTTATCACTCCCCTGTGATATGAGGTCATGAATACCCAGTGCCACTGACGATTCTGATACTAAGTGCTAGGGTTGAAGCTATCATGAGTTCACTTAATCTGCAAACGAAAACAAAGACTCGGTGACCAAAGACCAGTAAGCTAGCTATTTGATGCGTCCCAGCCCCGCTAAGTAGAGGAAGAAGTCCAAACTTGAAATGAGGAAGTATATTCTGCAAATCAGCCAGAAACGAGAGATAACAACAAACACAATTCAAAACGTATATATGCAGTACAAAATCGTCCTTGAGAAGAGTTACCAAATAGCATACTAAACGACGCAACGGACCAATAGCATTTAAGATATTTCCCAGTGGGAAATACGACTTAAAGGTGACAAGAGCGCTTTTGGCGCGAAAACAAAGAAATTCAAATTTTCTGAATAAAATTACAAAATTAGGTCCTTTCCCATGTGAGTTCTGGGGATCTAAGGTCTCCAACATTAAGACAAACAATTATTCAATGCTACCTGGTTTTTAATGATTGTTTAACTTAGCTCGATTTGCAATCTGAATATCATTAAACAATCTCCACCAACCCCTTATACTGATGATAAAATCTATACCTCTGTACTTCCGTTTACTAAGTGGCAAGTTATTGAAGTATTAAAAATAGTATTTGGCTCACTAAATCTTGAGAAGTGGAGCACAGAGTTTGAACTATCTAATCTGTTTGGATGAATGTTGAGGGACATTTGGTAACGTTTCGTTCTTTGAAATAAACATTTTTAGTATAGGGAGTTTGTCTGTTTAGATTGTTGAGTTTCACAGGTTACATTATGAAGTGATCTTAGTGTAGACCATCATTGGAAACCAGAAACCACCAGACAATTGTTCCGTCCAGGTATAAAACTTCTCTTTAATCCGCACCTACAACCCACTACAGATCGAATACAAGACCTTCAAGCTTCATAATAAACACATAACCATTAGAACCGCTGCGCTGGAGTTCGAATCAAATCGATCTCCACAAAACCCCTACAAATAAGTTATAATAATCAGCTCACTAATGACTTACTTCAAGATGTTTCTAAAGTGTTAGTAAGAAGTTATTAAGTTCAAGTATGTGAAATGGATGTCACCAGTAGCATTGGATGAATGTCGCTCTGTGTCTCGAAATAATTGAAGTTGGAATTTTACATCTGGACTCCGGGCTAGGAGTTATAATGGATAAGCGTTCGCTTTGAGAGGCGAAGGTCTTGGATTCGGTTTCTAGAGAATGTTGTGGGTACACACCACCGACGAATTAGCTACCCAGTTCTCATTGGTTTTAAATGGGACCGCAAATGAGATCAGTCTTTGAAAAAAGCTATATGCAAATTAAACTTATCTCCAAAAAACTTTCGAATGTATTATACTTTTCAGTCTGGTTAGAAATAAATAATTATTAATCCCGAATTTCAATGATCTACTTCTTCCTACTATCCATCTTTAATTAACTGCTTATGACTTAATGGCAGTATCGAGGCAGTCCGCTCAGGTTGCACATATCCTGAAAGAGATTGATCGAATATCAGTCCTTATAACATCAAGAACGTGACGAATATACCATAAAATTCCTACAAGTTGATAAACAAGTATCTGTAACTTTGTACGATTTCAAAATTGATCAATAAATTCATTTTTCCATTAATTGACAATCCTCTAATTTTTCTAGGTGGTGAATACTCTTGTTGCGTTTGATAAAGATGTTTATATTTCAACATTACTTTACTGTAATATTAAGTGGTTGAATGCAGTAGATAGCGAACCCCAGCTTGACCAAGGTTTTATGTTTATTGGCCCTGTCACAACTAGGTGTATTTGTAATTTTGAGGAGACCAATGTTACTTGATGGATTTAAATCCGCTTCACAATCTGAAATGCTACCGGTTAGCCATTTGAGCCGTCTTGGACTATGAAGCTAAGCTGGGTAGCGCGGGTTCCGATTCAATGATTAGCATTAGCTCCTTAAAGATTACAAGATTGCCATGTTGACAAGTGCCAACTAGCAGAAAACTTAGATGGGGCAATGTTTCCTGTTGACTACGTCCAACCACCAACATTGTCCGTGCGATGTCCAGCCATTTAGACTAGTAGCCAGATTACAACTTAATCGATAAAAGTTGATCAAGACTAGACAAACATGACACTGGTCGCTACTTGTTAGTCAGTCAATTGTGTGTATTATTGTTTATCCCCATATTTTATTTTCTTACAGGCCGAGGCTGATTTAAGCGATGATGATGATAATGGCGATGATCATGATGGACCAGAAACAGAACTTAGTGAAAGTCACAATGATCATAGTGTTTTACCATTGAATAAAGAAGAAATAGAAACAATGTCTGACGATTTTTCAAATTAATCACTTGCACAAGATAAATACCAATTAATTAGAACAATACTAATCATTAATCCCGATGGCAAGCATAACAGTTCGAGCCCAGTTACCACACACACATACACATTGTGTGTACCGTTTTTCAACTTTTAACAGTTTTTTTCTAGGAACCCTTTTTGCCTTTTTATTATTTTCTCATTTTTTTTCTCAACTAGATAAATCCGATGTAAATAGTTATATACTACTATTATTACTACTTAATCATAGTAATCATTATTATCAATTATTCTCTGATAGATACATTCACATTTGCCTGCTTTCTTTTATGCCTTCATAGAATCTTTTTCTATATGGATGGATGTTTTCCATTTATGTAGAGAAATCCACCAGTGTATTGACTATTATTATTATTATTATTATTATTATTATTAACTACGTTTATTTTGTGTATTAGGCATCTCAGTTATTACCCTGCCCCCCTCCCTCTCCCCCCTATCTATTTTTTATTTTCTTACATAATTTCATTTGTCTTTATTAATATTGTTATTTATTTTTTTATTTCCCTTGATATTAATATGGTCCCCTATCCACAAAAATAGGATGAAATCTGCATAGGAATAATAATAATAATAATAATAATAATAATAATAATAATAATAATAATAATGGTAGATGGTCCGTTCTGTCTCCCCCCCTCCCATCTCATCTACCTTCAATTTCTTTTCTCATTTATCTTTATATACTCATAAATGGCGCACAGAACTTTTAATAATTAATCATTTTCCTCTCACATTTTTTCAGTTACTGATCTATTTTTTTTCTCATTTTTTTGTTTTTTTTCTAAAAAAAAAGAGAAAAATGTATTTCCTCAGTTTAATCAAAAAAATTGAAAATGAATTGACTTTATCTTTTCGTGTCATTTATTCAATTGATAAATAGAATATTAAACAAAGTTTAAAGAGAATTTGTTTTAATTCATTAAAGATTATATTTGCATTTTATTTATTTATTTTAACACATAGATATTGGTACAAGGAGGCACCAAATCGATATGTACCACATAAATCTCACTTGATATGTGTGAGGGCTAAGATACTACACGGATGTCCAAACTGAAGCCGGTGGTTTTCTTAGCAGACCACACTCGGAACCTTCGACTTAAAAGTCTGATCTACAAGGCAGTGGAGCAACGTCAGGAGATGTAGTGTAATGGTAGCCAGTGATCAATAATAGGTTCATACTCAATTTGTTCCGTCAGGATTGTGGAGCTCATGTAAACCATTGGTTTTAAATGAGGGTTTTCCAACTTTCCTAAGTGAATTCTCCATGTCCATTGACCCGGTTAAATCCAAAACCTGATCTGTTTTACAGCTGTTGGCTGATAAACAACTACAGATATCAATACCAAAGTTGGATTTCATAGTTTTAAACAAATTGAGCATTGGGTAGAGAGTTACTTGCGTCTGTTACCCCTCGTGGAGGAGCATAGGCCGCTCACCAGCACACTTCATCCAACCTTGTCCTGAGCAATCCTTTGCAGTTGTTATTCATCTTTTTCATGTCTGTTTCTATTTCCCGGTGTAATGTGTTCTTTGACCTTCCTCTTTTCTGCTTCCCTTCAGGATTCCAAGTTAGGGCTTGCCTCGTGATGCAGTTTGATGATTTTCTCAATGTATGTCCTATCCAATTACAACGTCTTTTCCTAATTTCCTCTTCATCTGGAAGTTGGTTTGTTCTCTCCCACAGTAGGCTATTGCTGATAGTTTCGGGTCAACGGATATTCAGTATCTTACGTAGACAGTTGTTTATAAATACATGTACTTTTTTGATAATGGTTATAGTAGTTCCCGAAATTTCAGCTCAGTACAGTAGAACGATCTGTCTTGACGTTTGTATTGAAGATTATGACTTTGATATTGACTGACAGACAGTTGTTTTGAGTTCTATATGTTCTCCAATTGTAGGGATACCGTCTTTGCTTTGCCAATCCTAGCTATTACGTCTAAATCTAATGCTCCTTGTCCATCGATGATGCTTCTCAGGTACCTGAAGGATTCCACATCTTCCAAAGTTACTCCATCAAGTGTGATTGGGTTGGTGTTCTCTGTGTTGCATTTGAGGACCTTGCTTTTTCTTTTGTGTATGTTGAGGCTTACTGATGCAGAGGCTGAGTAAAGAGTTATTAATAAATATATTTTTGCTATATCCCAATGAGTAGAAGAATTGTATTCCTAACATTTCGTAACTTAGTATAAGCCACTTCTTCAAAGAGAATAAGTGACTTGTGTTGATTTATTTCGACTATTTATTTACTCTGAAGAATTGACTTACATTAAGTCACGAAACTTCAGATATACAACTAGTTTGTAAGAATGTAGTAACATAAATATTTCAATTGAAAATACAAATTAGGAAATAAATGCTTCTTCTCAGTTGGTTTCTTTTTACATAATTCTGTCCAAAAATCTATACTGAATAATAAACAATGGTGAATCAAATTCACTGCATATCAATATTTTCTATTGAAGATCATCATCCATTAGTAAGACAACATCATACAATATCGATTAATTATAAAAAGTACGATTACGTAGGAATTTGTTGGGGATGACAGATCCTCAGAACTCACTTGGTAAATACCTTATTTATGTAATTCTATTTTAAAGTTTGAATTTATTGTTTTCGCGCCAAAAGCACCCATTTTCACTTTCATGTTACATCTCCCACTTGGGAGGATTTTAAGCGCTATTGTTTTGTTGTCTGTTTTAGTATGCTATTTTTAATGTTTCACAACGACATTTTTATGCTGTATATATACACTTGAGTTGTGCTAGTTGTTGTTTTTCGTGCTTCTCTCTCCGGTTAGCGGGGTTGGAACGCATCGGAATAGTTAGCTGATTTGGTCATTGTGTTACTGAGTCTTCTTTCCGTTCACAGATTAGGTGAACTCGTAATCTCTTCAAACATAGCAAAATTAGAATAGAAATTAAGTAATGCAAACACAGGCTTGAAATTAGTTATCAGTATACGATTGTTACCAACATTGAAAACCTGGAAGTACTGGTTGGCCTTTTTGCCCTGATATGGAACTCCTCAGCAGTGCACATTCACAACCCACATGCTGAAACCGAACCCAGGATCTTAATATCGCGCGAGAGTGCTAAGCAATTTCAGTGGTTTAAGGGTTTAGAGTTTACAGGCAAGACCGAAGGCTGTGAGTTTGATTTCAACGTGCGAAGTCATTTGTACACACTACTGAGTCCCATACTGGGAAGAAACAGCTGTTCCGCTTGATCTAAAAGTCTCCATTTTAAATTTTATTTTGTATTATCATCAAGAGTTCGTGGAAATTGTCGAATTTAATTCAAATTACAAACGGATCTATGTTAGGCAACAATTGAAACCTGAAAGAATTAGATCGATTTTTCATCTTAGTATGAGAATCCTTAGTGGCACTGGCCACTTACGACCAACGTTCTCGATAAATTTCTTACTGATAATTATCATATGTTTAGCTAATGACTAGCTTTAAAAAGAAATTTCTGGGATTCTTGCGAGAAGTCATGAGCAGTGAAACTAAATCAGTTGTGTATGAGGAAGGTACGTACCGAAGACAATGGAAGATCTCTGCGCAAATCGTGAAGGTAGACTTATACACCACTGACTTCCGTCTCAGTAGTTTGCGAGCGAGGTCAAAGTTTTGGGATCCGATTGCCTTTGGCGAGATTGTGGATAAGTATTGCTATATCACCCTGTTCAAGGAAAAAACGGGTGTACATTTCTTTGAAGTCTTCAGTGTCACTTAAGTTATCATCAGTCTGTGACATAAACTATGAAATTTGATAATGTTCATAAATCCATATATAATCCTTTAGAAAGCTCCGTTAGATTCTGTCAACTTGTGTTAGTTTATAGCGTAAGTTAGACGTTTTCTGATCGGAGGACCAGTATAGTGAACAATAGTTCTCCCCATATTTCTTTAAAAATAGTGGATATTCATAGGTTACTACTATTTGATTATAAGTGTCTTGTAAACGTTTTTCGTTTAAATGGGAACCACCGAATGAACTATGATGATGTTTGATTCAGGGTACCGGGTAAAGATGGTAAATTGGATGTCCAAGTACTAAATTTCATCAACTGAGGAGATTGTGATATACATTGCATATACCCATCCACCGACTAACTTGAAGTGTCATGTGCATAAGCAAATTGGAAGAAAGCTAGCGAAAGTAAAACCAAAACTTAACATTAGTCTATTTATTTACTGACATTAGGATAGAAACATGTTGGTAGCTGCAGGCCCTTTAGTTGGGGTCATTGCCATTATCGTAACCAGTGACTGTAGACGTTGTGTGATGCCTCAAAATCAGTTGTAATGGTATAGATATATTTGCTTGTTGTTTTCCCATAGAAGATGAGTTTCGAAATCATTTAATACTTTTCATTCCACAAATTCGTATTTCATTCTCGAATTGTATTATCTTTTCCACTAGTTGATACAATCGGCCCAATTAAAATTTTCTATATGAGGAGGCTACATTTAGCCAATGGCAAATCTAATGACAAAAACATGTTATTGGCCAAGAAACAGTTTCATTTTCTAAAGAGTAGATACATACATATTCATAAACAAATGCTTATACATTTAGTTCGATTTAGCCCTAGAAACTTACATCTTCACTCTTGGTTTTCTGATTCAATATCCGGTTAAGGGCTTGTGTGTAGTAAATTCTTGTATTACTATCACTCCGGGATACTATGAGTTATAACACTATCATGTTGATACTGTTACTACTTCCACTACTCTAACATTTTTCTTGTTGTTCTGATATGATACGGCAACTTAAATTGATACATATATGTGTCAAGTTTGACGCTACATATAACTGACATTTAATAAGCTCAAGTACATGTTTCTTGAGATACCCATATAATTTTGGTAAATACCTAAATTTCAATGGTTGAGGTCATGAGTCAATTGAAGCCAGACCACCATGAAAAATCTGAAAGCACTAGAAGACCGTCTTGTCCTATTGAGGGACTCCTCCGTGGCAGTGAGCATCCACGATTTAACAGTGCATTGGAGAAAGATTTACAAGTATACACTATGTATTTTGTATTAGTTGTTCGGATCTTTCCATTGATGTTTAAAACTGTAACTGATCAGTCTCTTTTGGTATATTTGCATCCTATGCGGATTACCTTGATATTATTTCAAGTCACAAGTATAATAAGTAGGGTTGGATGATGGTTAACAGTGGAATCCAGAACGCTTATCGTTTATTCCCATTTTGGGACTTGATAACTGGATATACCCGACATATACCAAGTTGATGTTCAGTCCTGAAATTAAAACTAATACCATTTGTTTCAAATGCACAACGAGTTATCCATGTAGCTGCTGAGTCCAAAGGGCCACAAACTTTTGTAACGGGATGAATTTTAATTCATATATAGTTATTGGTTGTTTGGATTTTCCTATTGATGTTTAGAACTGCAATTGATAAGTTACTTTTGTGTAGACCCTAGAAGTCAGACAACTTTAGACATGTGGATTTTTAACTAAACAATTGAAAAATGTCTAATTGTAACACTTGTTATAGTGTACTATTCAAACTATTGATCGTTTTCTAGTT